TTCTTTACAAGAGAAATATTGTGAAGCTTGGCAAACTCTTCATCTATAAAGCAAGCGAATGCACCCGAGTCTAATAAAGCATTGACTTGTAGTTCTTGAATACCCAGATATAAAGGTACCATAAAACAATCTGAAGGTTGAGCTGAGAGAAAGGGACCTTGATTAATTTTGGATGTTGAGATGTCCAGCCGCACAGTCCCTATTGTGGCTGGGCGTCCTTGTTTTCCTGCATGCTTGTACTCCTGAGTCTTGTTGTTTGAGGCTTCTGTTTCTTCCGACAATCTATAGCTTTATTGCCCGCTTCTCCACAATATAAACACAAGTTTTGTTCAAACCGTCGCTTCTTTTCCTCAGCTGTGAGGGGTTTGAAACGTACCGCATCAATTTGCATGGGTTCAGGATCTGTGGAGTGATTCTCTGGACCTTTTGAAAATGTAGCAAATGCTCCATCATTTCTCCAGCCTGATCGTCTTTCTTGTCGTAATTCAAAGAGGTGGTTGTCACAAATAATTGCCTGAGATATAAGTTCTTCTAAAATATCCGCCTTAAGCATGGTGATCAATAAGTTCTTGACATCATCTCTCAGTCCATATCGAAATCATGTCATGAACGCCTTATCATTTCAATCAAGATCACATGTAACCTGTTGAAATTTTGCAGCATAGATTGCAGCAGAACGTGATCCTTGTCGCAGATTTTGTATCTTTCTTTCAGCCACTCTTTCTCGATCGCTATCTCCAAACGCAACAGTAAGTCTCTCTATGAAAGCCTCTAGGTCGTACAATATTGGAGAATCCTTCTCCAATAGTGGAGCAAGCCAAGACCGAGCATTTCCTGATAGAAGAGTACCTATGAAAGCAACCTGGGCAAATCCATTCGGATAACGAGAAGGATATAGGCGTAGGTAAAGCCGTACTTGTTGCACAAAACCTCGGAAGTTGGCTCTTGTTCCGTCAAACTTGTCTGGCATACTCGCTTTTGGTTCTTTCGTACTAATCCTTGAAGTATCTATAGGGGTCGTATGTGACACATGTCTTGCTTCTCTCAGTCGAATAATCTCTTGTTGTAGGCTATGAATTTTGCGTCTAGCTTCTTCGGTCACTAGATCAATTTGAGGTTCTTTACTTAGATTGCGAAGAAATACAATCTCCTTTCGTACACTATTCATAAGAACTTGAAGATCTGCAAGAGTTACCACTCTATTGTGTACTTGTGGAGATGCACTGTCTATGACTTGGTCTACTTCCATATTTAGAGAATAGATGGATTAAAATTTTGAGAGAAGAAGGAATTGCTAAGTCTCTTGGAGAAAATTGTAGCACTACCTGTCACTAAAACCTACTCGGAGAAAAGAGAAAAAAAAAACACTAAACGATTTCAGTTTTAGAGGAGGGTAATCCGCAACCTCTAAAAATGCCTCAATGCTTTCGAGAAGAGGGGTAATCCGCACTCTATCAAGAAGGCAAAGCTCTGAAATCGATGTTAACAATCTTTTCTACTAGCTATGCTAAACAAAAAGAAGGAATTAATATCAGTCCAAGAGAGGATAATCCACAACCCTTAGAATGCTCAAGTATCTCCAAGGAAAGGGGTAGTCCACTCTCTGCCTCAAAGAACTAAGCTCTGATATTGTGATTGAGAAAATATCAGTTTAGAGGAAGGTAATCCGCAACCTCTAAAGCGCTAGAATACCTTCAAGAAGAGGGGTAATCCGCTCTCAAACAAGAAGGATTCAGCTCTGATATTAAGATAAAGGTAGTCTCGACAAACTGTCATGGACCAAAAATATAAACAAGAAATTTAAAGAAAAAGTTCAAGAAGAAATGACAAGAACTAGATTATCAGATGAGTACAAGAGCAACACCAAGAGAATTGAGCTAGAGCTTCAAGAGATGCGTTGTTGAGACTGAAGAACTCTTCAGCCTCGACTCCTATATATACTACTGGCCTATGGTTCTAAGGAAGCGCATCAAGAAGCTTCCCAAGAACTATGAAGCTTCTCGAGGAACTACCCAAGAGCTAGGAAGCTTCTTAAATAACTTCCTAGAATCTACTAGAATATTCTAAGAATCTTCTAGAGCCTTCTAAGAGAATCTTTAGAGAATCTTCAAAGAATATTTAAGAAATCTTTGAAGAATATTCTAAAAGAATATTCAAAGAATCTTCTAGAAGTTTCTAGAGACTTCTTTCTAGAAGGTTCTAGAAACTTGTCTCTAGAAAGGTCTAAGGACTATGTCCCTAACAATACTTCTCTCTGAACATATTGAGAAGAATGGAGCAATTATAGCATTTGGTACCACCTACTCATCAACATTATACCAAGCTTTTCTAAAATAAAAACAATCAATCTACATAAATTTGGCCTTTAAAAAGATAACAACATCTAAACAAACAAGAGATTATTAAGCTTTGAGGAAGGCTAAATATAATATGACCTAATACTAAGCAAGGAGAAAAATTAATGGATGTTGATACAATTGATTATTCAATTGCAGCTGCAAATTTTTCCTAATATAGATCAAGAAATACAAATTGGCAAGTAGATAGCTCTCTTTGCAAATGAAGACTTGTAGTTATCTATGATTGTGTGGCAATCCATGCCAACCTACTAAATAGACATGGGATCCACCAAACTTAAGGTCCTTACATAAGTTCAGATTTACAAAGTATTCGACATGATAAATAACTTAATCACTGCCACACCAAACTGGAAGCAAGTTTAGAACATGGAAGATGGGAAAGGAGATCTTAAAGAAATATATGCAATTAGGTCCATCAAAAAGATTTATGTCATAATAGTGAGTAGAGAATACAAAAAAACTGATATTCACCTATACTTCATCACTTTCGGAAGTACATATCGGCTTCAAAAGCCTAAATGTAGAGAATCTCCATCCTCCAAATACTCACCTCAAGAAGAAAACAACCTACACAGTTAAGAAGATTGATGAATGCCACATGAAAAAGGGTAGACTCTTGAGGTGACAAGGTAAGAAACCTCAAGGCAATAAGGCATGACCTTATCCAAAATTAGAGATTGACAATTCTTTTGTCTTAGAAGTATGACATCTTTTTGTATCAAATACTAAGACAATTCAGAAAAATATGACGGATATGGTTACTACTTCAAGATATCATCATATATATAATCTAGATCAAGTAAAATAATGTTGCTTTTAATGAGGTGCATCAGCAAGAAGAACAACTGTACCACAAAAATTTGGCTATAATTCACCAAATATGGTAGAAATGTGTGGTATTAAATACAATTAGAGATGAAATGATGACCAATGTAAGTTGCTATGTACTCTCAACAATTTTGCCATCAGTGGTGTAAGGACCAAATATTAGCGACATAGTAGCAAAACAAATGAAAGTGGAAGCTAAATTGGCCTACTAGAAATTTTGTGGATAATATCTAGTATGTAATCCTATCCTTGACTGGACCTGGTTGGAGTCATGTACACTAACTTCTTCTAATAGAAATAAAAATTATATTTGTATCAAAAAAAAAAAAAAAAAAAAAAAAAAAACTCACTACTCACAACCTCAATTCACTGCTCATGAACTAGCCATACACTCTCTACTTGGGCGTCACTTATTCTCATATTTTTCATTTTTTACAATTATTTGAATTAACATGTGATTAGTAAATATTTTGCTTATTCCACAAGATATTGTTTCCAAAAAAAATAGATGAGGTTTTTTTGTTTTTTGTTTGTTTTGTTTTGTTTCTTTTCTTTTCTTTTCTTTTCTTTTTTGATTCAACATTTCATTGATTTGTTTCTAATTTTCATTTACAGCCTTGTATTGTCTAGTGCTTGTGATAATGATGGTGTATATGGTTTTTGTTATCCTGATGTGTGCAACAGTCTATTGATTGCACACATATATGAAATTATAGAAAATGCATAATTTAATCATTGATGTAATCTATCTTATTCATATTTTTTGACATTTAATTTTTTGTATGCAAATAAATAAATAAAAATACTTTAAAATCATGACAATTAATAATGGTTTTTCATTAATTTTTTAGTTTAATACGTTTAAAAAAATGTATTTATATGTATTTTGTTCATATATAAATATATTATTTGTAGTTTGGTTTACTTCACATTATAAAGAGTCAGACAAACCAAACAGATGTATGATAGCTTTGAAATCAATTGCTAACATTCGAATTTTGTGTATGTAGGTATATAAGAGAGGTTTTTAGGACATTCAATTAATAATGAACTATACATTATCATAATAATATTGGTTTTTGTTGATATTTTAATTTTTTGAATTAACCTGATTTCATTTTGCGTTCCAGAGCAGCAGGATTTGTGAGAACTGAAGCAATTTGTGTATGTTGATATTTTGATATGTACATGTACTATATCAGTTATTATAATAAATTGATGGGTTTAGATTTATAGCCAGAAAAAATTAATTAAACAATAAATTGTACCGTAAAGCATGCAACATCTTGTCAAGCTGGAGTCTGAAACTTGATTAGGCATCCGCAACAATTGATCTTCAAATACCATAACATATTGAAAAGTTTTAAAATGCATGTGTGTATTAAGAATTGTCAATTCACAAAAAATATTAAAATGCATGTTTTTGGTATTTCCGGAAAACAATAAAGAACACCTGCGGAAAAATTCTCTAGTCTGTCAAGTTTATTTATTTATTTATTTTTATTGCCATTTGATAGATTAAAATTTACATGGTGGGGATGCAAGTGTGGTGGTGATAATGCTCTGACATGGATAATAGAACACAAGCACTGAAAATGAGGGGAAGAGATTCCGAACACGCTCTCCATTTCTCATTGCAAAGCTGCTTTTGGCCTCTCCCATTGTGAACATCCGTGGCCACGTAGGCATTAGATTGCCCAGACCGCCGGACCCAGGTTAAGCCCTGACCACATCTGTCAAGCTTACCTCCATCCATCCACGGCACTGAACGGACGGATGATTCGAAAGACGAATGAAATATGTAATAAATGGATGAATGTAGTCGAGGAGTCCTTGGGGAGGAGGGAGAGGAGGGTGGTGGAGAGACTTAGGGCGAGGCATCCGTGGGCAGGTCTTTTGCATGACTCGAAGCTGAAGGCATCTTCAGGCTCTACCAGGCCCTGCAAGTCTCGAGGAATCTCTCGCACGGATTCTTGTTTTGTCCGGGAGATCAGTGCTCTGCGATGCCATGCGGTGGTAGTGTTAATGCTGCGGGGGTTGGCGGTTTTCCCAACGTCCACACCCGCGACGACTTCCACCACACCTGGCGAAGCCATCCCACTCCAGGCCAGGCCTTTTCATTCCTTCTTCTCGGAACACGCTCCGGACCTGTTGCGCGGCGCGTATTCCCATGCGAGTCGGTCGATATTTGCAGGTAGCGATGTCACATCTATTTCGTGGAAAGACTGGGGTGGGCGTTACCTTTTTTTCCTGCGGTTTTCTCCTTGTGTTCGTTTTTTCTTGTTTGTTTTTCCACACGTTATTAGTGCTGTGTTGTGAGGAGAGGCAGGCAATGGGATGGCTGGACGAGCAGAGGTGGTCATTGCTTTATTTTTATTCTTCTCCATCGTCGGGCTTCTGTTCCTGTTGTTTTCGGTTGTCGCAGCGTGTGAAAGGTCGCCGCTCGGAATGAAGCGAAATGAATGAGTTCAACTTGTCTTTGCAGCAAAGCTATGTCGGTACTGGCTCTTTGTGCAGGAATACAATTTGTAGGGATCTGATCAATCTTTGCTTTATTTTATTCTAATTTTCAAGTGTAATTTGATGCAATTGGATTTTTATATTTCTTAAAAACTTTTCTCGTAATTTCAGTGACACCTAAAATAATAACTTTACGTACATATATAATTAATTAATTAATGAAAAGGTGGTTTGTTGAGGTGTTCGATTGCGTCTCTCACATATTAATTATTTTTTTAATATTTTCCAGTATAACTACTGTTGATTCTGAACTTCAAGTTAAACAAATGAACGTTAATGAACTGATAGAATCCAAAAAGCATTACTTTTACTCACATCTTTTGATAGATTCTATGCTGTCCAGCCAATATATAAAAATTTTAAATATTTTTCTGTTTTATTTTTTGCACTTTTCAATGCAGAAATGTTCCAAAAGAAGAATTCCAGATTTTAATACTTGTACTTAAGACTGGGCACATACAATTAGTGTATTTATACTTTCTAAATTTAATCTCCCATATCTTATTCAATCTAATTTTTTTATATGGTTGTAATATGTTATTCATGTTTAGCTTATATTTTTATATCACTTGCAAAGCAACACAAGCACTTTCAATTCTCATTAACATGAACAAATAAGAATGATTAAAAAAAATTAAGTTTTGCAATATTTGAATACATACAAGTTGTTATTAGAGCAAAAATGTTTAGGATTTGGGATTAGAGTTCTTGAATAAAACAAAACAAAGATTGATACGATTCTCACAAGTTGTGCTCCTGCACAAAGTGTCAATATCCACAGTAATTGTGTAAAAGTGTTCATAAGCATCATAATAATAGTAAGATTTTATATACGAATTCATGATCATTTACAGCTTGTTATGTTAATATATTAAGAATTTCCACTTTTTCTTTGCAAACTGATATTGTAAGGAATTAAATAACAAGTTCAATGATAATATTGTAGGGAAATTGTTAGCTAGACACACACCCCCCCCCCTCCTTACTGCATGGACACCTTCTTTTTACTATGTGGATACCAGACCATACAAATCCTGCAAAAAATAAATTAAGTTTGGCGTAAAATCATGATTCTTGTAATATCTGTTACTTCAATCCTAAATTTGATATGTTAGTATCAATTTATATTCTATGGTTCCATATTATCTCAACCTATAGTTTTTTTGACCTTGGAAACCTTTACCAAACTATTTTTTGAATAACAAAAACATAAAATTTGTAATTTATAATTGTTATCATTTATTAATTTCATTTTTTTAATCAGTTATACTAGAAAAAATATTTTTTTAGAAATTTATATGCGAAAAAAATTCTATGTAATAATAAAAGGAAGGTGTCTACCTAACAATTTCTTATGATAATTATACCTTAAACAACTAAGTGTTTAAATTCATTTGGCCCCCTCACGCTCCTTCCTGAAAGGGATCGACGCCATGACGCATTCTCATAACTAGAGAACAGAATCTCACATAGGGATCGTGAGAGTTCAAATCAAATTTTCCCGGGCAATTCAAACGCGAGGTGGCGGGAGCGGGAAAGCGAGCGAAGACTCGCTCCAAACATGAGCGACCTCTCCACTCAGCCCCACATTTCTGCTTCCTCTTCGCACTTCCTTCGCCATTCTCACTCTCGCATCGTCGATTTTCACCGTGCTCGCTCTGCTCTCATCCCGCCCGCGCTTTAGCGTTCCTGTGTTCCTAGACTCAATTACTGTGTGTGTATTGTGGTAGCACCCGTGACTGTGGGAACGTGAGCTGGATTTGGTGGTTTACGTAATTTCAGGTTGATATTGGAGTTCTAGGGGCTTTCTTCTTAGAGTTGTGTCTGGGAGGCGTGATTGGAAGGGGTTTTAATGGCTGCCGTTGAGCCCACCCCTGTGGTTGATCCTGCCTCTGATTTAGCGGTGGTAGAAAAGCTCCCCGTGGAGGAGGTGGAGCCTCGACAGGCGTCTAAAGGGAAGAAGGTCAAGATGGAGAAGGAGAAAAAAGTGAAAGAAGCTAAGGTCAAAGAGCCCAAGGCTACCTCAGAGAAGGTTCCGAAGTTGGCTGCGTCTCACCCTACGTACATGATGGTGAGTTTGATCCGTCCGCATTAGTATATGAACAACGTATTCTATAAGGTATGATGTGGGTCACTCGGGACACATGATGGTTGTAAGTAGGGTGTTCGCGATGTTTAGTGCCGCTGGAAACTTGTTTCGGGATCGATGTGGTCTCAATAATGGAGGCGGTGAATTGGTTTCATTTATTATGTTGGTTGTTCATACCCTGTTCTCGGAAATACGTTGGTTAGCCGCGTGGCTAAGGGAGCTGCAGTTCGAGCAGGGTTTCGGATCTAACGAGTGATGCGGTGAGGATGATTTCAGATGGTTGTGGAAGCCATTGGCGCTTTGAAGGAGAGGACTGGGTCTAGCCAATATGCCATTGCGAAGTACTTGGAAGACAAGTATAATACAGGGCTGCCCCCCAACTTCGAGAAGACTCTGAGTACTCAGTTGCGTAATTTGAGTAAGGCCGAGAAACTGGTTAAGGTGAAGAACTCATTCAAACTGTCGAACGAGTTGAAGAAGCCTTCGAAACCGGTAAAAGCTCCGAGCGCTCCACAGGCAGTGGTGAAGGTTGCGCCGAAAGCCAAGGCCATCAAGAAGCTTGTGGCTCGTCGCGTGAAGACGAAGAGCGCCGGAGAGGGTGCTGCCAAGTCCAAGGCACCAAGTGCCAAGGTGATCAAAGGCGCTGAACCACAGGCCAAGGCGACGAAAACTGGAAAGATGAAGTCTGGCAGCAAGGCAGCTGCAGCAGCACCGAAAAAAGCCGTGGCCAAGACATCCGTATCTGCTAAGAAGAGTACGGCGACTGCGAAGAAAATGATCCCATCAGCGGTTGCGAAGAAGCCTGTGACGGTGAGGAAACCACCGACAGTACGCAAGATGACCACGCCGAAAAAGGTCCCGAAGTCGGTGAAGGGTGCGAACGCAGGTGTGAAGGCGAAGGCAGTGAAAGCGGTGGGCACTCCAGCAAAGAAGGCCAGGAAATGAGAAGGGTGACTCGTGATGATGACCGAACTGGTGTTCATGAACACCACCATGTGGAAGGAATGGTCGACCCCGTGCATAATAGCTTACTGGATTGTGAACGCGAACTGCTGGTGTTTTTTTAGGTGCAGTTACGACTTTTAAATCAGGTATATCAGGTTGGCGGGGAGCGAAGATGATGCAGGGTTTGTTGGGGTGCCTCGAAAGCTCTTTCGAATGTCATGCAGGGATGAATGGGGGTTTAATGTGCTGTGATTGCCTGATGCCGAAGTTAGTCGTAGTGTTTGGTTGTTTCTGTTTGATGGCAATGCATGTGGTTCGAATTGAGCTAGTTTGGAGTCGATGTGTCTCAGAACTGATGCTTTTGTTCTAAAGTGGATCTGCAGATAGCTGAGAGTTTGGGTTCAGGTTCGAACTCTTCGTGGCGCTTGAAGCTCAACCTTGCCACATTATTGTGCCTTGAAAAGTAATTTTGGCAGCATCAAGGGAACGAGTTGTGATGCCAAGATATTTAAATGATCGTCACAAATATTACATGAAATTGTTGAGGAGGTTGATGAATGTAGAAGTTAGTGTGATTCACACAATTTTTTTAAAAGAGTTCTAGAGATTAAGAGCTTTTTAACGTCTACAATATTTATTATACTAATCAGCAGTAGTGAAAGTAGTTGCAACCTAGTTTTTACAATTTCGGATTCTTTTAGAGAATTTGAATATTGCATTTTGAGTTTTTTAGGCTTGTTGTTTTGCATGTGATAAATATCAAAATCACACATTTTTAAACAAAAGAGACGTGCAATTTTGTTATCTGAAAGGTGTTTTATGTAATTTATATTATATGTAACAGTACTATTCTAAAACAAAACAGTTTTATTGCATGTAATAATATTTTTTTATCATGATTGCGCAGTACACCCAAAATTGTAATTACTACTTTGGTTTTTTTGTTTATTGATAGAAAATTTGGTTGATCTTTCATGAGATAAGTTACCTATGCGTAAATGTAAAAAAATATAAAGGTTGTAGATCATTACTGTTATATATAATGATCTACAACCTTTATACACTAAATAACACTAAATAACTCCATATACTGGTTGTACACTATGACGGCAAACAACTTCTATATTGCATTAATTTTTCACGACTATTTTAATAGTCATCTACTTTAAATACAGAATTAAACTTTAAATATTTATTTTGTTGCTCTATTTTCAAACACATTTTTTTTGGTAAGTTTTAGGTTAATAGGAATATATTTTAAAGCATGCTTAAACTGTGATGGGAGTCTTCACAAAATCTTTTATCATGTTAAAAGCATCTCAGTAATTTGTATGATGTAAAACTTTATTTTCAGTATAAGTGACAAACAAAGTTTTCTTAATATGAACTACAAATAAAGATGCATAATCCTAAGTAAAATCTATTTTGAATAAATTTATTTTATAACATTAATATAGTGCTTAAAATATTCATAGTAATATTCTAAATAACTCCATTAATAAAAATACTTACTAGGGCTTGCAAATATTTAAATGTCTTCAAACTAAAGATTGCATTTCTTAAAAATTATGTACTTAACATACTTTGAGTCATTTAGATTGTCAATGTTCATATTATTATATATTTTGACCAAATTTAATTTAAATTTAGAATATATATAATATTTCAATACATATGGATATATATATATATATATATATATATATATATTTTAATTTCTGGATTCCATATTTATCATGAAGTATGCATTAAATCCCAAGGTTCATTTAAATTAATCTTTATATTTTATCGCTAAATTATTGAATTTTAAAGCCATATATTTATGTGTTCCCCCGAGAAAAATGTTTTTTAGAAGAATAAAAACAAACTTCAATTGATCATATTCGGTGGTTAATGTAAAATTTAATTTGATATAGTTTTTCATAAATACTATATTGCAGAGTCATTTTACAAAATTTGTGATGAGTTGTATTTTTTACTTTTCTAAACAAGGTATAAGTAAATAATTAAAAAAATCTCAAAAAAGATAAATCTTCTGATGTCATATTCTATTTAGATGTTATAATTCTTTATTAAACTTGTCTGACAATTCTAATACCAAATAGAAAATTTAAGGTTTCAAAATATGTTCACAAGTTTTGAAGAAAAATTCTTTTAATAGATCGATGTGGACGCTAGATAATTCCCTTAGTTTTTATGGCTATCTTAATGATAGCCAACCAATTGTTAAATGCCTTCAAAATATTAGCAATAGGGTTTAATATATATACATATTGAGCAACTTAGCAGCAATTTTTTATTTACACAAAGAAATGAGATGATTCATCCAGAAAATATCCATCCACGGATGAAGACGAGTCGCTGCAGCCGCGCTGACGTGCGCGCAGGGTTGCCACGATGGCGCATGTGCGGGCCACGTCAGCAGAACCAGACAGCGTGGACAGACACGCCGAACTCGTCCTCGTCGTGTAGACGTCTCCTCCGTCCGTCGTTGTCCGAAGCATGATGTCGGAGCCCATATCATTGCATCACCATCTCTCCCCCCCTCCCCACGCTCACCAGCGAGCCCAAACCCAAGCCCAATCCCAGCCATAGCTAAGCTAAAGCTGTTTCAGCTGCTGCTGCTGTTGTTGCTGCGGCACCAATTTTTCTGGGTCAACTGTTATTTCCTTTATTTTCTGTTAGAAAGCGTCATTTTGGATTATTTTTGAAGGTTTTCGTTTGAAGAGCTGATTGGTGGGGGGGGGGGGGTGCTGATGGAGGGGAGTGGGAAGGGATTTGAGGAGGGTCCAGGAGGCTGAGAAGGGAGGAAGGGGGAGGGGGGACGAAGGGATAGGGAGTTGGTGCCATGAGCATTGGGTGAGGCATGTCTGAGTCGCAGTGATCAGTTGAGACGGAGAGATAGTTGGGTTGGGTTGGGTTGTGGGTTCTGGGGAATAGCCCTGGATGATTTATTGTCGAGGAATCTTCGCCCTGGGGGTTGTTTGTTTGTTTGTCTGTGTGGGTTGCGTCGAGGAATGGTGTTGAAAGGGGTGGTGTGATAAGAGTGTTTTTTTTTTTTTTTTTTTTTTTTTTTTTTTTCTCGTGGCTTTTGTGGGGAGGATGATGGTGAATGAGGTTTAGGGGACTTGAGAGCTCGGGGAGTAAGCTAATTTTTTGAGGTTTGGTCGTTTGAAGTTGGCTCGAAGTTGTTTAGTGCTTTGAGCTTGTTTCTACATTTATTGGGTAGTATAGTTTTAATTTTATTTTTTTTGTTTATTTATTTTTGTTTTGTTTCGTTTTGCTTTTTTGGGTTTCGCTTTGATTTATTCTTTGGTCATCTACGTGATTTGGTGTTAATAGTAATTTTTTTAGGATTTTGAGATTCTCTGTGTTTGGATGTGTTCAGCTCTTTTGGAGCCAGATTACGAGGCTGAAGAAGGGTGTCAGTGAGTGTTGGAAGGGTTGATTTTGTTTTCATCATTTTCAACCATTGTTATTGTTGTGGAAGTGAGGATTGGAAACAGTGAGGTTAAACATCATGGAGGGTTTAGGGGGAGGATACGAGGCGTTTGTGGAGCGGATTCAGTCAGCAGCTGACACTGCTGCTAAGAGCTCTGGGAATGCATCTACTAGCAATAATACGTTACATCCTCCACAATCTCAGCTACATCAGTTGCGTTTTGTTGGTTATCCCTCCACTTCTCACCCGTTTACTGTAAAGAGGGATGCATCTCCTGGTCATTCGGATGGTTCAATGAGGATGAAAGAGTCGGTAGAGGTGTCTATGCAAGATGCAGTGAACTCTTCAGCCCCGCCCAGTTTCACTGGTTTAGGACAACCCCCTCGGATGTCCAGTCCAGCTCACAATTACAGCACTGACGTGAATCAAATGCCAGATTCTCCTCCACGGCGGAGAGGCCATCGCCGTGTACAGTCTGAGATTGCTCTTCGCCTACCAGATGAGGCGTCCTTTGAACGCGAATTGCATGGCTCAGAAATGCCAGCACTGACTGACGACGGAAACGAGGATCTTTTCTCTATGTACATTGACATGGAGCAGATCAACAACTATAGTGCTACTTCTGGGCAGGCCGGTGCGAAATCGACTGCAGGGGCAAGCAGTGTGCTTCCTCCAACGTCACATCACTCTAGGAGTCCGTCATTGGATACTCTTGCAGGTTTGAATAGTGACAGACCTGGATTGGGAGGGAGCTATTCTACGTCTTCTGAAGTCCGACGACTCCGACATCAGCACAGTAGCTCAATGGACGGCTCCACATCTTTCAACATGTCAGATTATGAGGGCTCTGATAGGAAGGCTATGGCTTCAGCGAAGTTGTCAGAAATTGCCCTAATTGATCCCAAGCGCGCGAAAAGGTAATCATATTTCTCCTTTTCATTTTGTCACTTCTTAACTGGCATGGTTGTCTCGCTTGTTTCAATTTGGTACTTGTGCATATATAACCATTTTTCCAACCTACTCTTTCTCCTCTTTAGTTTGTTTGTAGTTGATTTTTTAAATTTTGTTCTTTGTTGGTTTTGTTTTTTTGCGTTGGTTAGTTAGTAACTGAATGTGATTGTAACTCTAATCTCATCCATCTTGCTGCTTACGGAAGCTAGTTTTCTCCCATTTGTCACTCAGAATTTTAGCCAATCGGCAATCAGCGGCTCGCTCCAAGGAGCGGAAGTTGCGTTACATCTCAGAACTGGAACGCAAGGTGCAGTCATTACAGACTGAAGCCACGACTCTCTCTGCTCAGCTTACACTATTGCAGGTTTGCATATACTACCTTGACTTTTTTTAGTTGTTTACCATGCCTTGTGATAAAATTCATGACAAAACTATTTTTATGTCCATCTATGAGAACTCGGTTCTACATACTAGCACTATACAGTTCGAAGCTAAAGGAAGACGGAGATAAACACAGGATATTGGGGCGAGCAAAGTGGGTGCTGAAGTTGAAGTCATTTACTCAGTTCAGTTATTTGTGAAGGTTATGAATACTTTTTTTTCGTAATCAGATGACTGCCTAGTAGCCCAAGTTATTGATTTGACATCTACACATATTTTGACCCTCTTATTTTGATTGGCATGACTGATGTACAGAAAGACACAACAAGCTTGACCACAGAGAATAGCGAGCTCAAACTCCGGTTGCATTCCATGGAGCAGCAAGCTCAGCTACGGGATGGTACCTATGCACAAACTCAAATTCTACTGATTCTAATCGTTTTCCTCTCAGTTGTTAAGATTTTCTGCTGATCATAGCACAAATCTATTCCTCTTTGTTCTAACTGAAGTCTGCCATGGTGTATCAGCTCTGCATGAAGCTCTACGAGACGAAGTTCAGCGTTTGAAAGTTGCAACTGGTCAGAACTTGAATATGAGTGGGCAGCATGTGTTTCAGACGCAGAAACTTCAGCAATCAACACTTAATAATCAGCAGCAGCAAGCTTCACAGCCGCAGATGCATTCTGATTACATGCAACGGAGTGGATATGGTCTCTCAACTGGGTTTATGAAGGCTGAAGGATCAAGCATCGCAATCAATCACGGGAGCACAGCCTCTTTTGGTTGATTTGTGATTAATCCGTTGCTGAAGTAGTTCAAAATCCTAGCAAAGCACCGTAATTTCTGACCGACATCCTTGGTTCTTAGTCACGCGATGGTTTATCGTTTGGGTTCACCGAATGATTTTGACTTGAGTAGGACCTTGACATAATGCCCTAGCTTACCACATTCAGTATTGTAGAGGACAACGGCTTCTACTTGGCACAACCAGCATGTCCAAGTTTTTGGATCTGTGGCTTCTTGATGTTTTCATGATTTGAATCTGGACCTAGATCAATTATTCTTTGCTGGCTGTCACAGCCTTCCATCGTCGGAGATGAAGATTAGCTGAGAGTACAGAAGACAAGATTCTCTTGAGAAACTTCATCTGCGAGGGACCGATTAATGCAGCCATGGATTTTTTGGGGCGCCGGTGGCTGCTTTTCTCAGATACCAAGATGGTGTGCTGTGGCTGGATTATTTCGTTCTGAAAAGACCGGGCTCACCCAATGAAGTCTCGACATGGAGGCTAGATCTCCACACATTTTTTTTCTTTTTCAAGCCATGTAGATTTCCTCACTCGTGAAGTCAAGCGTTCTGAACACATTAGTGAGTTCAGGCTTTCGTCTTGTGAATGAACCCTCATAGTTTATGTACACAGAATTGCAAGTGTGTCGCCCCAATATTGGATTCTATGGTAGTTATAGGAACCATACTAGTGGACATCTGTATGGCCCACTTCATTGTTTATCAGGGGCAAATTTTTCAACTAAGCTTTCCATGCAATTCATCCTGCAGGTTGTTATTGTAAGGATTTCTGCTCTTATCTGTAAACTTGCAGAAGGACAGCATACTCGTGTCCTTGCTGTTTGGAAGGTTTTACTAATCCTTGCTGTTCTCGTGGATTTTTGGATGTAAACAAGGCTCCAATATTGCTGTTTTTTGCTGTTGTTTTGAAATGCTTTAAATTCTCATGTTGTTGGGTCACAACATTTTGTTCAGATGTGAAATATAAGAGAGCCACCTTACATGTGTACATGTGCGGTTGTTGTACAGTACCTTTGGACCTGTTCGCATGTGAGGTTGATAGCCCATTTCATGACAAGCTTGGATTTAGAAAAAGGGTCAATTAACTTCAGTCTAACCTAACTTATCGTCAGATAATGATCTGGGCAAAGTTTGTGTGTAAAAGAAACTGAGCTAAGATCTGTAAATGTTGTTTCTACACTAAGGAAGAACCGTTTACATTACTCCACTCAGAGGTGATTTTTTCAGAAAAGAAGAAATATATTATAGAAGATATTACTTTAGGCAAGTTATTATTGGTCAAAGGATTGGCTCTTGATATATAAGAAGGCCAAGAGATAAAGGTAGATGAACGGACAAAGGATCCTAAGAGTATAAAAAATATGCTAAAGATATATTTTCATAATAGAAAAGATAGCTATGAATAGTCTTGGTAGAATGTTGAATGGATGTATTCATCAAAGGATGGAAGTGTTGTCTATTAGAGTAGCAGCCATTACCTATAAGTAATGGGTGTTGGAAGTAAGAGACATTGTACTCCATACTTTTTGTATGAGAAACCTTATTGATGCTATATGTTGATGACTTCAAAGTTCTTTTTCTTCAATAGGTTATAGGCCCATTGACCTTTCATAATGAATTTTGAAGTTCTTTGAAGTCTTGTTGTGAAGAATAAATCTTATGGTTGTTACTGATGTTAAGATTTGTTATCTTCTAAATTTCCTTTTGCATCTAGTTATTGATGTAGTTTTGCTCTTACTTGTTATTAAGTGCATTCATTGTCTTAGAAAGTATCAATCATTTTAGAATGATGTTATAGAATACTAGTATTGTGTTTCTTTGTTAAGTTACATCATTGATGCACTAATATTGTGCTTTTTTGTGTTGAATTTTTTAAGAGGTTTTCTTATAGTGATAAGAAGATATTTGTGAAATTAAAAGTGTTCCTATGAGAGTTGAGAGTGATTAAAAAGTAAAATCACTAGTTTACTTAAGAAAAAGGTATTTTAGGTTTTTAAAGCAGCAAAACTTTCTTGTTTATTTAGAGAGCTTTATCTTATCTTTTCTTGATTTTCTTTGATAGACCTCTTCATGAGACATGGCTTCAAATGAAGATGAAGGCTTGAGAGTAATGGAGAATTTCTACCACTGGAAGAAAAAAACAGAGCTTTTGTTGGCTTTATTAGACCTTTAAGACATTGTTGATGAAAGTGAAGAGCCTTCAAGTGACGATGCTAATGTCAAGGTGAAGAAGGAATATAAACATTGTCAAAGGAAGGCAAATCAACTAGTAGTTGTTAACAAGCCAATTAATGCTAAGGAAATTGTGTTGACATTGCTCATGAGCCTTCTTGAGTCTTACAACTATCTCATTGTGGTATTGGAATCTATCAATATGAAAGAACTTTTTATGAATTATGTCATATTCAAACTTACTCTTAAAGTGACCAAGAAGTAAAAAAAAAAGAGCTTCAAAGTGATGATTCGGTTCTATTTTCAAGACAAGGCAAAGGTAGCTATTCTCACTAATGTGATAATTCAAAAATTAATATGAAAAATTGCTATATTTATAAAAAATCAGGTCACTTTGCTAAAAATTGCTACAAAGCCAAGAAAAGAAATAGAAAAAATACAAACAATACTAGTGATAGTTTTGGTGGAGATGATTATGCTTTCATGGCAAGTAAAAGAGCTTCGATGGCTGCCATGTTTAAGTGGATTATAGATTTGGGTGTTACTAAGGACATGATATTATATAAATATTGATTTGACATTTATGAAGAAATTCAAGCAACAAATATTTGGTTGAAAGATAATGGCATAATATAAGCTATTAGAATTAGCTCTATTATGGTGGAGTTCATTGTAAAGGATCAAATGAAGAAGATCAAATTGAAGGAAGTCTTATATGTACCAAAGATAAAAAATAACATCTTTTTGCTGAGCAAACTTGTATTACATGATTGTAAAGTTTAATTTGATATAAATGGATATTTTGTGAAGACATTGGGAGCATAATATATTGCTAAAGGCTTAAAAGATGGCAACCTCTACTTCATCAATTGTAAAAAGGTGAATGGAATTGAAGTAGTAGCATTTACTCAATTTCTACAAAATTAAGACAAGTTTGGAATTTGGCATTGATAACTTAGTCATTTGAATGTCAAAAGCATGAAAAAACTCTAATCCATAGTAAGTAGCTTGGATCTTCATCAATTCAACCATAATGCCATAATACTTGCTTGTGAAGGTTGTATTCAAGGCAAACAACAAAAAGCTTCATTTTCAAGAAGAATTGCAACATATATTAGTAAATTGTTGGAGATTGTGCATTTTGATGTTTGTGGACCAATGAAGATGCCATCAATTGGAGAAAAAAAGTAATTTTTCATATTTATTGATGATTTTTCAAAGAAGGTGTGTATTTACATCCTTAAAGCAAAGAATGAGTATTTTTCAAGATTTAAAGAATTTAATGTACTTATAAAAAAATAATGTGAGTGCAAGATCAAAGTGTTGGGCACAAATAATGTAAGTGAATATATTTCAAAGTATTTTGATGATGTATTAAAGATTCAAGGCATTGCAAGTTAAACCTCTACTTCTTATATTCCACAACAAAATGGAGTTGTTGAAAGAAAAAATCACACCATTATGGAGATGACAAGGAGTATGCTTCAAGCACAAAACTTTAGGCATGAATATTAAGTGGAAGCCATGGTTACATAAGTATATACAAGAAATAGGTTCCTTACAAGTGCACTCACATCAATAACTCCATAAGAAGCTTAGAGTGATAAAAAACCTTGTATTTCATACATGAAGATTTTTGGATGCATTGCTTCTGGAAAAGTATTAAATTATATGAAGTCCAAATTTGATGCAAAAGAAACAAAATATGCATTTGTTGGATATTGTGAAGGTACCAAGGCATATAGGCTTATATATTTAGAAATCAAGAAGATCATTCAGAGTCATGATGTAGAGTTTTTGGAATATAAAAATTCTTATAACTACTTGAAAATATGTCTAAGTATAAGTAATAGTAAGTTTTTAGACACGTTTCTAATTTTAACAAAAAAAAAGAAAAGATGATGACAATAAAGATGGTAAAGATGTGAATGAAGATGACAAAAAAAAAAAAAAAAAAAATCAAAATATGTCTAAAATTACTAAAACCAACAATGAAGACAATCAAGGTGTTGAAGATGATTATAAAGAATATCAACTATTAACTGTGAAGAGACAAGCTTTAACAAAGAAGAACGTTGTAAAAGACATTGGAGTGTAAGAAGATGAATTTTCATCAATTGAAAGGAGATATCTTTTGAGAGATAGAAAATAACTTGATTATTCATGGATGAATCCCATCTTTCTTCAAGTAAGTGAAGAATAGGCCAATGTTGAACTCTTTGCAAATCTATTGAATTTGAGGGATGCAATAAAGTCCACAGATGTTATGAAGTGGAAGAATGTGATGGAAGAAGAGTACAAATCATTTATAGATAATAGAATATGAAAAATGACTTAAATTCCATTAAATCAATTTTTAATTAGTTATAAACTAATTTTTAAAATCAAAAAGGATATAATAGATAATATTATGAGATACAAGGCTAGATTGATTATTAAAGACTATTCACAAGTTGTTGGTATTGATTTCAGTGAGACATTTGCTCTTGTGGCCAAATTCAACACTTTTAAAACTATTGTGATAATTGAAGTAGCAATGGATTTAGAGATGCATGAAATAGATGTGATGACAACTTTTTTAAATGGAAAATTAGAAGAAAAAATCTATATGGAACAACCTCAAGGATTTATTGAAGAAAACAAATGACACCTTATTTGTAAGTTGAAGAAATCTTTGTATGGACTCAAGCAATCACCAAGGGCATAGTATCAACATATTAACATATTTTCCTTGAATGAAGGATTTAAAAGAAGTAAGGTTGATCATTTTTTATATGTGATGTAAAAGTGAATTTATATTAATTGTTATCTTCTATATTGATGCTTTGATCATCTTAATCAACACATCAAAGATAATGGATTGGTTGAAAGTAAAGTTGGAAAAAGAATATGAGATGAGTAATTTGGAAGAACTTTACTATTATTTAGGAGTCGAATTTGTGAAAAATTGTGCTAAGAAGACCATTATAATGAGCCAAAAGAAGTGTATTGAAGAGGTGTTGAAATGATTCAACATAAAAGAGTATAAGCCTATAGGTATACCTTTGGAGACTAGTTTGAAGTTGATTAAGCTTATGGATGAAGAGTTTGCTGAAGTTGAAGATCAAATGCAAGGTGTTCTATACAAGACATTAGTAGGGTTACTTATATATGCAATGGTTGGGACAAAAGTGGAACTTGCATATGCAATGAATCTTATGAGCCAATACATGTAAAATTCTAGACTAATCCATTGAACAACTATCAAAAAGATCATGAGGTATTTAAAAGGTACTTTGCATTTCAAATTATGCCTTGGAAGTGTTAATATTATTTTGTATGATTATTGTATTGCGGATTGGGCTAGAGATGCAAATGATAGAAGATCAACAATGGGATATGTTTTTTTTGTTGAGGTGATAGCTATTTCATGGAATTTCAAGAGACAACCAATAATTAGAAGATCAATAATAGAGACAGAATATATAGTAGTAAGCCATAGTGCAATAGAAGTAATATGGCTAAGACAACTATTGGAAGACATTGAAGTAGTACAAATGGAGGCAATCAAAGATATCTTACATTTGCAAAGAATCCAAAATATCATTCAAGGACCAAATACATTGAAATTCAACATCACTTCATAAGATAAGATTGAAATATAAGTGATTGATATAAAATATTATG